CAAATACTTGAATTTGATTGGTCCATTAGAAGCTTTTCCCTTGGTTTACACTTCGATAAACCATGTTGCCGAAACTACTTTCACTGATCAATTCGTGCGCTATACACATGCATGTGATCCAGGGGGTACTGAGCAAATTGAGATTGAAAAACAAATTACATAATTTGTTTAAGCATAGAAAAAAGAAATAATGCATTCAAGCTTGGAAAATGTTTGAAATTTAAATAAAATAAAATTCCCTGAAATATCATGAATGATCTTACCGCGTTAACGTCATGGCAAAACATGACGACATACGAAGATTATTCCATTACTTGTACGCTTCAAATTCGGATAATATCTCATTAAAAGGACGTTTTTGAGGTATGTGATGTTTCATTTTAGATTCTATTGCATTAATCGCATATTTATGGATTTCAGAAAGTCAATATGGCAGCTAACTCTGTAGTTATGACATGTCCATTGTGCATTTGAGGATAAAAAGAAGCCAATGAATACAAAATCTTTAATTAAAAATTGCGAATGTTTTGCTAAGAATTATAAGGATTAAACACATTTTTTCTAGAGGTTATTGTTGAATGATTTAATATTGGATTAAACACATTTTTTCTAGAGGTTATTGATGTGTAAACTGGGGCGATTAACTCACAAACTGAATAAAAGTCCGAAGGACTTTTATGTAAAGTTTGTGAGTAAGCAACCCAGTTTACACATCAATAACCTCTAGAAAAAATGTGTTTAATCCTATATTAAATCATTCCACGGCGATCTATTTGTATTTGTCACCACCTTGAATATATATTTTAACTTTGTGTATTAAACGAGACCTCCAGTCTTATAATCCACTGATTCGAATTGACAGTCACATCTGGCACGGTTAGCCCTAGAGGCCCGGCCAATTGCCGATCTGCAAATAACATTTTACCTTTATACAAGCCTTCCACAACTATTGCCAGAGAATAATACACACATCGTATAAACCTAGTCATAGCGTAGATAGTAAAAGGTCAATAAGCGTACACCTATATTTGGTCTTTACAGTTTTAAGTTATATACTTTAATGTTCACGTTATCAGTCGGAAAAAGCAAATATTAAAAAAAAAATATATATATAATTTTTTGTGCTGTCAACAAAAATAAATCGAAATATATGCGGTAAATATAGAAAATTTTATCTCATGGATGCAAAAAGTTGCATGTCTGTTCGTTCATCGTCAGATGGTCATTAGCTATCAAAATTGGTCATCTGTGCACTTATTATTAAGTAAAAAATTTGATTAAAGACCAAGACTTATATGATTGTATTTTAAATCCCGGCATGCAATACCAGGAGAAGACGTCACGTACTACAGGGAGTACTGTGGATTCATTTTTATTCGTGGTATACCAATTTTCGTGGGTTTCGTGGGTCACAGCGAACCACAAATTTAAGAATTCAACGAAGAATAATCCCGAGAAATGTGTATGAAGTCGGATGTTTATTTCCAGTTATGTTATGCAGTTCTAGAATAGTGTTGACTAGCGATAAACATTGTAACATAACACATGTTTTTATTGAAAGAAGATACAAGTATTTTGATTAAATCAATAATAAATATATCGAATATCAGTGATAAATTACTTTTTAAAATTGATTTAAACTGTTCATGGAAAATAACTGCAAGTTGTTAATTACCGTGTCATAGTTTGGTTTACTGGTGATTAAAAATCAATAGGATTTAGTACGGGGATATTGCCCGTAGGTAATAAGTGTTTATGACAGGAACATTTATTTTCACACCTTTTACTTATACTTATATATTATATCGTGATTAGGGAAATGAGTTTTCAATCATAGAGTTTTGAATGCCTTATAAAATTACGACAAGAATTTATAAATTGTAAAACAAACAAACAATTTGTTGTCTCTGTCCATTATTGTAATAGAAGTTTTCAATGAACACTTTAACCTAGAATGACCAAGCAAGGATTTTGACAAATCAAAAGTTTTTCATCTTTTTTGTTTGTTTTATTATTGATCAAACCAAGGAGGTTATATGATCTCCTAAATCAAAAAGAAATCCACGAATTACGTATCTGAATTTTTTTTTTGTAATCAGCGATCCACGAATTTACGTATACCACGAAACGTCTTTTTTTCTCTATCCACGAAAATTGATACCCACGAAAATAAATGAATCCACAGTAGTCAATAAAAAATTTATTAATTATTGATTTTCTTCTTTATTACTGCACTGTATTTTATGTTATAATGAACATATTTAAACTATAAGTAAAAAATCGTGAATTTTCCCTTTAATATTGGCTAATGATAGGAAATCACTTTTTACCTGTGTTTTTAATTCATACCTGACATTGATCACAAGCTCAGAACTAAGGGAGCAGCCATTTAACTTTAAGGGGGGTTATGGTTTTTTGTCTGAGTCAGAAACGCGAACAATTTTATCTAGTTATTCAACGCTTCCAATTTTTATTTTGTTCAAAATTTAACACTATAAGGTATTGGGGAAATCTGGATTCAGAATATTTTTTTTTGTCCTCTGCTTGAACAGAATAATTTTATAAATTTATACTTGATCGGAGTTTTGTGGTAATAAGTATTGTGTATAAGTTTCATAAAATTTGGTTGAGGCTAACTTAAGTTAGAGAACTGAAACGAAAAATTCAGCAATTTTTCCAATTGTAAAGGGGCATAACTCTAGAACAGTAAAAGTGACACCACCAAAATTCAAACTTGATCTGTATTTTGTGGTAATAAGCATTGTGCATAAGTATCATAACATTTGGTTGAGGCTAACTTAAGTTAGAGAACGGAAACCAAAAATTCAGCAATTTTTCCATTTGTAAAGGGGCATAACTCTAGAACAATTAAACTGACGCCACCAAAATTCAAACTTGATCTGTGTTTTGTGGTAATAAGTATTGTGTATAAGTATCATAACATTTGGTTGAGGCAAACTAAAGTTAGAGAACGGAAACCAACTTTGGGATGTACACTCCTATGAAGAGTGACAGTCTACTAACCATATCTACAAAATTTGACTTTTTAATAGATCTTGCCTTGCTGATCATTTTTGTGATTTAAAGTGTTTATTTATCTATTATAATTTAAATCATATAAGGCATAAAGCTCTATTAAAATATCATAGTTTTCGTGATAATAGGCAAAAATGAAAACTAGAGGCTCTAAAGAGCCTGTGTTGCTCACCTTGGTCTATGTGCATATTAAACAAAGGACACAGATGGATTCATGACAAAATTGTGTTTTGGTGATGGTGATGTGTTTGTAGATCTTACTTTACTGAACATTCTTGATGCTTACAATTATCTCTATCTATCATGAACTTGGCCCAGTAGTTTCATTGGAAATTATTTTGTAAAAATTTACAAAATTTATGAAAATTGTTAAAAATTGATTATAAAGGGCAATAACTCCTTAAGGGGTCAATTGATAATTTTGGTCATGTTGACTTTTTTGTAGGTCTTACTTTGCTGTACATTATTGCTGTTTACAGTTTATCTCTATCTATAATAATATTCAAGATAATAACCAAAAGCTGAAAAAATTTCTAAAAATTACCAATTCAGGGGCAGCAACCTAAATGCTTTGGTTTCAGAGATATAAGCTAAAATTTTACCCCTATTTTCTATTTTTAGCCATGGCGGCCATCTTGATTGGCGGACGGGATCATTTGACAAATTTTTAAACTAGATACCCCAATGATAATTGTGGCCAAGTTTGGTTAAATTTGGCCCAGCAGTTTCAGAGGAGAAGATTTTTGTAAAAGTTAAAGACAACGGACGACGATGACGAAGGACAATGGATGCCAAGTGATGAGTAAAGCTCACTTGGCCTTTTAGGCCAGGTGAGCTAAAAATGAACCCCTGCCTTCTATTCAGACTATATATATACTGTAAAGTTGAAAACTTATGATCATTTCCTGAACAAGATAAAATCAAGAAAAATATTCCTTAGCATTAACTTCCTGTATAAAGAAAATCAGAGACAGGAACAAGAAGTAGAAGCTCTAAAGAGCATGGTTAATTCATCAGAATATATGTGAATCTTCATTTAACTTTTGAATGTATTAGAATAAAATTTAATTCACAACTAAATTCTTTTTTGTTGGTGTTGTATTTCCCATCCTTTTTTCTATATAAATTTAATACATCTACCATAGTTTTTGCCCAAAACACAAATAAACTGTTGACACAGAGAAATGTCTGGCCTGTTTGCATAAAATTCAAAAAAGACAATCTGATGTACAGCAACATTGCTAATTAATTCAAAGTCACTGGACCATGAACTAGTGGGCAGGGCCTCGAAATGGTCAACAATCAATTGGACACCATGCCTCATGTGCATTATCTTATTTCTAGGTTCAGTAAACTGTAAAATTTGATCAAAACCCTAATTTGGTATATTTATTATTTAGTTCACTTAATAATGAAAATGTGAACAAAGTTTCAAGTTGATGTGACCAAAAACTACCCTAAACCTAAACTTTAACCTATGTTAAACTAATGTTTTACAGGATACGGGACGTTTGTACAGACATATGCACAGACTAGAAAGCATAAGGCCCCTTTACTTTTGTATAACTAAAATATGGACATTGGTAAAACTAAAGACAATATCCCCTTAGCTGTGGGATTGTTAAGATATAGTTTTAAAAGAGATTACTGGTAAAACAAGGGGCACCCATTAAAGTGTTAAGCAATACCCTAACTCAAAATTCTATTTATTGGAAAAACGTAGGTGTGTGACAGATCTGGAAAACTTACACACTATAATTAACTCAACAGGCTTAATCTCCTGGCCAAATATGAAGTCCTTTTGTTCAGTAGTACCTTGGAAAAGATTGACAGAAATTTTTGTTAGACAAACAGATAAAAAGAAGGATGGATTGACAGGTGATGTAAATGCAACTATTAAATTAATATAACAATACACAATGGAAAAACATAGATTTAAATGAGAAGTGTAAAAGATAATATACCTTATTAATTCTGTATAGTTCAAGTCATCATTCTTTGTACAAACAAATGTTATTTTGTCACTGGAATAGTTCCCATCCATTAATAATTGGCGACTCAATCTCTCTTCTAACAACTCTTTGTTTATTTTACTACTAAAGGCCCGGTGCACATCTGCCACTACCAGAAAGTTTGAACAGTTTTCTACGTGCTAACAATAAAATATTTTCTAAGTCATAAAATGTGATGCAGATAGTAATAAATATTTTACTTTTTCTTATTATATGTTTCATAAGGAGTCCATCATTTTGATTGGCAGGCAACAGTGACCCAAAACAAAAACATTTAATAGAAATTAAAAAATGTAACGACAATGTATAAGAATTGAAGGTTTTTATAGGGTTGTAAAGTAATGAGACATGTACTGGTACATATTTGTGTGCTTCATACAACACTTTTACATCACAATATAACTACAGAGAAGCATCCAATTATTCTCTAAAATTTAATTTGAGCAGTTGTTTTAAAAAACTAGACTACAGACCACAATGCTCTCGGGTGTTTATTATTTCTAAAGAATTATTGGCTTGTATGAGCTAACAATGGTTAAAAATCATCAATACTTTTGAATTAAAAGGAGATTGAAACTAAGCCAGGGAGAATATTATTTATGGAATCAAAAATATACAGGGTTTGAAAATAGCACTAGTCCTATGACAGGGGCTAGGTTTCTAACAACTGGACTTGTAACATTTGTGTCATGAAAAGCCCATCATGATAGCAAAAAAAAAATGTTGTGCACTTATTTTTTGTTTAATAAGAATAGCTTCTATTTTGATACAACAAATTAGAATTGTTGTACACTGTATTTAATCGCATATCAAATAAGCTTGATTTTAAGTTGGCAAGTTAATAACAAAACAACATAAGCTCTGAGCGAGCTTTTGAATTTATTTATTTTTAATTCCAATTCTTTATTACCTTGAACTTTACAGTTCATTGGTGTCAATATAAAATTTCAAACTAAACAAGTAGACAGAGAATGTAATGTTATATTGTTGTTTCTGATTTCAAATGCGGTAAAACTGTATTTAAACTAATCCTCATCCGAACTTCTTTACAGCTTAATTTAAAGACTCATGGCAATTTAAAGCTAGACATGCTGATATTGTTTAAGACCATATTTTGACTCGAGATGATTTTAATTGTTTTGATTGGTGGACTGCTGCTTCATTGACATACCCCCAAATCTTCCTCTTATTCATATTATAATCTTTCCCAAGAATTTGACATATATTATTCATGAAATCAAACTCTTATGTTAATGATTACAGTTGAAGAAAACTTTACAAGGATTTTGAAATTTTTCATATTTTTTTATCTAGCAAAAATGATTGAATCTATATTTGAAAGACCTTTTTATTCATATCACAAATTTCCAACATCTACCAAAATTACAGATTTAAAGCAAGCCACTCAAAGCATTTATAATCTGGTTAGTAAATGTTGGGAAATACCACATAATGTTGTAGAAACCTTAAAGTATAGCTGTGATGATTTTTGTACAGATTTAAAGACCTTTTGAAAACAGGCCTTCAGTGTGTAATAAATTTATGGAAAATTGGAAATATTGGTGCTGTCAGAAAATCGGATTCAAATCAAATTTGATAAGGGATGAATGATAACAAAAATGAGAATTGACATGCATTATGTTGACACCAAATGGGTCAGTCTCCTTGAGATTACTCACTGTACAAAATTTTATTGACTTAATTGTTGAAGTCCTCACAATAGCTTCTAAATGAGGAACAGCAGAAACAGTGCTATGTGTTTAATTTCTTATGATTTAATTAGACTTTTGTCCAGTGTATATATACCCAAAATGTGAGAATCCAATGTACTAATCTTAAGGGCATAATAGTTGATGTGTGTGAGAAACATAAATCGGAGCATCTTGTATACTAAATCATGTTCAATGTTGATGACAGCATGTAATTTGCTTTGAAATAGAATACAGTAGAGGGGCAATAAGTATTTTTAGTCTGTGCGTCCATCTGTCAGTTGATTAAACTTTCCAATATCAGGTTAAAGTTATTTGTTAAGGTAGTTTACTATGAATTTTGGTCAAATCAACTTGAAAGTTATTATGTTCATTATGATGTGAACATTTTAACTATATGCTAAATTACGGTTTTAATTCCAATTACATGGTTAATTGAACATAGAAATGTGATAGTGAACATAAGTACATTCTCAGGTTAAATGTTGGTTTAGGTAGTTTACCATAAAATTGTTAGTCACATCTTCTTAAACTTCCATTAGTACACATGTTCATTGTGAGGTGAACTTTTAAAATTAAATGGCAAATTAGGATTTTGACCCTGATATCATGTTCACTGAACACGGACATAGGATAATGTAAGTGCAGCATGGAGTTCTATGGACACACATTTTCTTGGGTTTTTCTTCTGTTTAAGGGTTAGTTTCATGATAATGACAAACCAAATAATGAAAAAGAGCCATATGCTTGTTCGATTTTTTAGTGTCTAAGGTCAAACTGTCTATACATTAAATTTATACATCTGATATCTCATAGCTTTTAATAACATACCTTTTAGCATAGACCAACTACTACCATGTTTACTATGACTGTTGTGACTAGCATATAACTTTTAAGATTAAATTAATGTTTAACTTACTTCCTGTGCTATCCTATCTCTAGCTGCATTTGCATCACCAACTCCTGGCAAGTCTACTAATGTACACCCAGTAAAAAAGTTTGGAATTCTTATCGTCACAGACTTTATGATCGGCCATAAGTGTTGTCCTTCTTCCTCAGTACCTATTATATACTTTTCTATATTACAACTGAATTCTTGTAGCTGAAATGATGAGGGTGTATTGATATGTGAGTATAACTATTACCTAAAAAGATACCTTAAAAAAGATTATCTTATAGTTATTTATTTTGGACAACTAATATAGATAAATGTGGATAGTGTCCACATGTGGACACAGATGATGCCCCCGCTTGCATATCATATAGATATAAAGGGACATAACTGAAGAACGGTAAAAGTGACGCTACCAAAATTTGAACTTGATCTGAGTTTTGTGGTAATAAGCATTGTGTGTAAGTCTCATAACATTTGGTTGAGGCTAACTAAAGAAGAGAACAGAAACTAAAAATTCAGTAATTTTTCTATTTGTAAACACGCACAACTCTGGAACGGTTGTGTATAAGTTTTATAACATTTGGTTGAGACAAACTAAAGTTAGAGAATGGAAACAAAAAAATCAGCAATTTTTATGTTTATAAAGGGACATAACTCAAGAATGGTAAAAGTGCGTCACCAAATTTCGTACTTAATCTGTATTAAGTAGTAATAAGCATTGTGTATAAGTTTCATAACATTTCGTTAAGGCAAACTAAAGTTAGAAAACGGAAACAAAATATTTGTACTTGATCTCAGTTTTGTGGTAATGAATATTGTGTATAGGTTTCATAATGTTTGGTTGGGGCAAACTTAAGTTACAGAATGGAAACTAAAAATTTTGCAATCTTTCGATTTATAAAGGGCATAACTCAATAATGGTTAAAGTGACACTACCCAAATTCAACTTGATCTTTATTTTATCAGTGGAAGTCAAAATTAAACATTGCATTGTATAAAGCATTGATTGCAGTTGATTCAACTATAATCATGGACAAAGGAAGATATCTTCAATTTTAAAAATTACTTGATATTAAGAGGAAAATAAAAAATTTTGCAATTTTTCCATTTATAAAGGGGCATAACTCTAGAACAGTAAAAGTGACACCACCAAAATTCAAACTTGATCTGTGTTTTGTGGTAATAAGCATTGTGTATAAGTTTCATAACATTTGGTTGAGGCAAACTTAAGTTAGAGAACAGAAACTAAAAATTTTGCAATTTTTCCATTTATAAAGGGGCATAACTCTAGAACGGTTGAAGTGACGCCACCAAAATTCAAACTTGATCTGTGTTTTGTGGTAATAAGCATTGTGTATAAGTTATATAACATTTGGTTGAGGCAAACTCAATTTAGAGAACGGAAACTAATTTTGGTACGTACGTACGTACATACAGACGGACAAGGGTAAAACTTAATGCCCCAACGACTACGGCGGGGGCATAATAAAAACACAACATATGTTAATTCAACAGTAATGTTAAGGAATCTCCAAGAAATAGAAAATATTTTATTGATATTGAATAAATACATCATCACATGCAGTTTTGTTATTTGATTACATGTATTTCCATCTACTTACAAGATAATTTTTACTTCAGGTAGATTAATCAATGAGTGATTAATTTCTCTTAGAAGAAAAAAGGTCCCAGTGAATAAACTACACAGAGAACAATAGCTATTGTAATTATTCAACGGGACAATTGAACTGAAAAAGTTTAAATACCTTGACCAAGAGGAGATGACTCTGTAGAAGAGTTTCGTTTGGGTAGCAAAAATTGTATAACTATTAAAATTATTAAAAAATCGATTTCAGGGCAATAAGTCCTATAAAGTAGTCTGATGATTTCACTCATTTTTATTAACTTGTACTGGTAAATCTTACATGCTCATCATTATTGCATTTTAATGTTTTTCTCTATCTACTATAGATTTGACAAAAATGCAAAAAATGGGTAAAATTTATCATTGAGTAGAAATAACTCATATACAGGATTGGTTGACAATTTTTGCTATATGCTGGATCTCACTATACACTATATTTTTTGCAAATAAAGCAAAAATGGGTAAAACCATCTTTCAAGGGCAATAACTCCTCTAAAGGGACAGTTGATCAATTCAACCATGTCTATCTATTATAGACTTATTCATAGATCTTATCTTGCTGATCTGAATTCAAAGTTTCTGTCTATCTATTATAATTTTCAAAAATAAAAGACAAAAATGAAAAAAAAGCAAAATTCGTCATCTAAGGACATTAAAGTTGTCTGACAGTTAAGATGTGAATATATGTAGATAGATCTAATAAATCTGAACATTTTGGCCCCTGTCAGATTTTCTCTATCTATAGTGGTTTTCAAGATAATAGAAAAAAACTTGTATTTTACCCCTTTGTTCTATTTTTAAGCCATGTCGGCCATGTTGGTTGGCAGGGGGGGGGGGGGGGGGGGGGGGGGGGGGTCATCAGATACTAGATACCCCATGGATGATTGTGGCAGAATTTGGTTAAAGTTGGCCCAGTAGTTTCAGAGGAGATGATATTTGTAAAAGTTAACAGACGACAACAGACGCTAAGTGATGGCAAAAATTTAGACTGGCCTTTTAAGCAAGGTGAGCTAAAAATGGGTAAAAATAGTCATTCAAGGGCAATAATTCCTGTAAGGGGTCAATAGATAATTTCAGCAGTCTTGACTTATTTGTATATCTTATTTTGCTGAACATTTTTGCAATTCACAGTATATATTTATTACTATTTTCTGCAACAACAAACAAGAGGCTCTACAGAGCCAGTGTCGCTCACTTGCATCTTCAACAATGGCCACTTTTTTGTAAAAATCATCATTAAAGGGGAATAACTCTATTAAGAGTAAACTGACACTTCCCGTCATGTTTATATATTCATAGATCTTATCCTGCTGAAAATTTTTTCTTTTCAAAGTTTCTATTTATATATTAAAGTTTTCAAGATAACAGTAAAAAAATCCAAAAAAATTATCATTAAGGTCAATAACTCCAATAATGAGTCACCTGAAGATTTCTGCCATTTGGCATATTTATAGATCTTGTCTTGCTGATCATTTGTGCTATTTAAAGTTCCTATCTATCTATTAGTTTTCAAGATAATAGGCAAAAATGGGAACAATATGCACACGCTGAAATGACTCGCCTGTTTTTCTTAACATTTAATATATGTTGAAAGACTGTAACATGAAGGTTTTACTACATTTATCACACAAACTTTACATTATCAATGTTCTATGATAATGAGGTCATGGTCAGATGAACCAGGCCAGACAGACATGTACACCTTACAATCATTCCAAATATAGTTGACCTGTTGCTTATAGTATCTGATAACCTGACAAAATTACAAAACATATCATTGACCAATGAACCATGAAAATGAGGTCAAGCTCAGATAAAACCTGCCAAACAGACATGTACACCTTACAATTATTCCATACACCAAGTATAGCTGACCTATTGCTATTAGTATTTGAAAAACAGACCAAAACACAAAAACCTAACATTGACCAATGAACCATGAAAATGAGGTCAAGGTCAGATGATACAGGCTAGACAGACATCTACACCTTACAATCATTCCATGCACCAAATACAGTTGCCCTATTGCTTATAGTACTTGAAAAACAGACCAAAACACAAAAAACTTAAAATTGACTAATGAACCAAGAAAATGAGGTCAAGGTCAGATGAAACCTGCCAGACTGGCATGTACCCCTGCAATCATTCCATACACCACATATAGTTGACCTACTGCTTATAGTATCTGAGAAATGGACTGAATCATGTTACTTTAACCTTGATCACTGATCCATGAAATGAGGTCGAGGTCAGGTGAACCGTGTCTGATAGACATGTAGGCTTTTCAAGGAAGCCATATACCAAATATAGTTATTCTATTGCTCATGATAAGTGAGAAATTCACATGACAAAAAAAACTGTAATTTTTTTTTCAAGCAGCCCCTAAACCATGAAAATGAGGTCAAGGACAATGGACAATGACAGACGGAAACTTCGTAACATAAAGTATCTGCATACAAGGTATGAAGCATCCAGGTCTTCTACCTTCTGAAATATAAAGCTTTAAACAAATAGTTTACATTGCCGTCGCTGCGGCCGGATAGTAATACCTGTCTCGCATACTGTGATAAAAAGTCGCAAGCGAGACAAAAATGGGAAAAATCATCATTAAAGGGCAATAACTTCAATAAGAAATTGACTAACAATGTTGGTCATGTTGACTTATTTGTAGATCTTGTCTTGCTGATCATTTTCACTTTTAAAGTTTCTATCTATCTATTATAGTCCTTAAGATATTAGGCAACAAGAATGTGTCCATAGTACACGGATGCCCCACTCGCACTATCATTTTCTATGTTCAGTGGACCGTGAAATTGGGGTCAAAACTCTAATTTGGCATTAAAATTAGAAAGATCATATCATAGGGAACATGTGTACTAAGTTTCAAGTTGATTGGACTTCAACTTCATCAAAAACTACCTTGACCAAAAACTTTAACCTGAAGCAGGACAGACAGACGAACGGACGCACAGACGGAAAAAATATAATGCCCCTCCTCTATCGTAGGTGGGGCATAAAAACTCAAAAACTTGATAAATATCGTCATTAAAGGACAATAACTCTAATAAGGAGTCGACTGAAGATTACAGCCCTGTTGACTCATTAATAGATCCATAGATCCTGACCATTTTTGCTATTTCAAGATTATATCCAACTATTATAATTTTTAAAATATTAGGCAATAATGCAAAAAATTGGTAAAAATTGTCATTAAAGAGCAATAACTCTAATAAGGAGTTGTCTTATGAATTTGGTCATGTTGACTTATTTGTAGATCTTGCCTTGCTGATCATTTTAGCTATTTTATCTTTCTGTAAAATTCTTCATTTAAAGGCGACGACTCCCGACAATTTTGACATAATTAGAAAATAGGTAAAGCTCAACATTCTGAACATTACTGCCGAGTCAGATTTTCTCTATTCATAGCGGTTTTTAAAATAATAGGCAAAACTTGCATTTTACCCCTCTGTTCAATTTTAGCCATGTCGGCCATCTTGGTTGGCAAGTTTGGTCATCGGACACATTTTTTTATCTCAATACCACAATGATGATTGTGGTCAAGTTTGGTTAAATTTGGCCCAGTAGTTTCATAGAAGATTTTTGTAAAAGTTAATAGATGACTGAAGGCGGACGCCAGATGCCCGACCCCGAGTGATTAGAAAAGCTCACTTGACCCTTTGGGCCAGATGAGCTAAAAATGGGTAAACATTCTCTTTCAATGGCAATAACTCCATAAGGAGCCAGTTGACAATTTTGGCCATGTTGCCTTATTTGTAGATTTTATTGTTCTTAACATCTTTGCTTTTTTCAATTTCTCTCTATCTATTATTGTTTCTGAAAAAAATGTAAAAATGGATAAAAATCATCTTTAAATGGCAATAACTCCTGTAGGGTCAATTGACATTTTCAGTCATCTTGCATTAGTTGCAGATCTTATTGGCAATATCTTGTTCTTTAAATATTTTCTTAATGAAAGAACCTTAGTGAGTGCGCTCACATACCCCACGTCCCCACATTGTCATTGGAGAAATAAAATAAGTGTAAGAAAAAAAATTGTATCAGAAAAAAAATTGAATCATAATTTCCTGTCAATATGCACATCTACATAGTATGTCCTTATTATCTACACAGTTTCATGAAATTCTGTTGTGTGGTTTGAGAGGAGTTGCGATGACAAAAGGTTGCAGTAGTATATTGGGCAAACAAGTTCAAAGGGGCGTAACTCCTGGAAAAAAAATTGAATCATAATTTCCTGTCGATATGCACATCTACGTAGTATGTCCTTATTATCTGAAAAGGTTTCATGAAATTCTGTTGTGTTGTTTGAGAGGAGTTGCAATGACAAAAGGTTGCAGTAATATATTGGGCAAATAAGTTCAAAGGGGTGTAACTCCTGGAAAAAAAATTGAATCGTAATTTCCTGTCGATATGCACATCTACGTAGTATGTCCTTATTATCTGAAAAGGTTTCATGAAATTCTGTTGTGTGGTTTGAGAGGAGTTGCGATGACAAACTGTTGCAGTAGTACATTAAAGTAAATAAGTTCATAGGGGCGTAACTCCTAGAAAAAGAATTGAATTGTAATTTCCTGTCGATATGCACAACTACATAGTATGTCCTTATTATCTAAAAAGGTTTCGTCAAATTCTGTTGTGTGGTTTGAGAGGAGTTGCGATGACAAGAAACAGGACTGACGGACTGGCAGACTGGCGGACTGACGGACTGACAGACGGACGGACAGACGGACGGACAGGTCAAAAACATTATACCCTCCGCAACTCGTTGCGTGGGGTATAATTATAGTTTCTGCATTAATTGCAAAAATATGAAAAATAAATGGGGAATGTGTCCATGGGACACAGATGATGCCCTGCTTGCATATAACGTTATAAAGGGACATAAATCAAGAACGGTAAAAGTGACACAACCCAAATTCATACTTGATCGGAGTTTTGTGGTAATAAGCATTGTGTATAAGTTTCATAACATTTGGTTGACGCAAACTTAAGTAAGAGAACGGAAACAAAAATTCAGAAAATTATCCATTTGTAAAGGGCATAACTCTAGAATGGTAAAAGTGACGCCACCAAAATTCAAACTTGATCTGTGTTTTGTAGTAATAAGCATCATGTATGAGTTTCATAACATTTGGTTGAGGCAAACTTAAGTTAGAGAACAGAAACGAAAAATTCAGCAATTTTTCCATTTGTAAAGGGCATAACTCTAAAACGGTAAGTGACGCGACCAAAATTCAAACTTGATCTGTGTTTTGTGGTAATAAGCATTGTGTATAAGTTACATAACATTTGGTTGAGGCAAACTAAAGTTAGAGGATAGAAACCAATTTCGGGACATACGGACGGACATACTGAAGGACAAGGCTACGGCGGGGGCATAAAAATTGTCATTCAGGGAAAATAAGGAGTCAGTTATCAATTTTGGCCATGTTTGACTTATTTGTAAATCTTATTGTTCTGGTCTGTTTTATTTGTTCATGTTTTACTCTATCTATAATAATTTTCATGATAATAACCAATAAATGTGCTTCGCCGATATATGAGTTCTCCAACTTTTTCTGAAAATTCAAAAGAATGTACACCTTGACCTGTTGAACATATTGACCCTGACAGTTTTGCTCTTACCGCTTTAGTTTTAGAGTACATGTAATAAATTAAAAAATTCGAAAATTTGCTAAAAATGTACTTTATATAATATTTTAGGGGCATTAACTTCAAAAACAGTTCTCCAATTTTTCTGAAAATTCTATTAGCTGTAGACCATGATGTGCTAATCAATTTTACCCTGTCATTTTTGGAGATATTGGCCTGAGAACACAGTTATTTCATAATGCATTTCTTTTAAACAATAAATTCAAATTAAAAAAATGGCACCTGCTCTATCTCAAAAAGATTTTTACAGTGAAGTGTACTACTTTTGGGACAAATTATATCAAAATTATAGAAAAGTCTACCAGCTCTAACTCAAAATATGGACAATTCTATGTTTAGGGGGTCTATAATTCAGTTTGACAGCTTCAAACATACTAATTTTTTACCTATTTTGACTTGACCAAATCACTACTTTCAGTGGTTGTCGTTTGTTGATGTGGTTCCTAATTGTTTCTCGTTTTTTATATAGATTAGACCGTTGGTTTTCCTGTTTGAATTGTTTTACACAAGTCATTTTGCGGCCCTTTATAGCTTGCTGTCCGGTGTGAGCCAATGCTCCTTGTTGAAGGCCGTACTTTGACCTATAATTGTTTACTTTTTATACATTAATTGTGACTTGGATGGAGAGTTGTCTCATTGGCACTCATACCACATCTTCTTATTTATATTTACCTAAAAATTCATCACCAAATTTTTTTAACATGTAATTTTCTCTTCATGCATAAAATATAAAGAAATAAATTTGGAAAGTGTATGAAAAAAATTTGCAAGTTATGCACTGTCCACACTAGGGACTATATTTGTAGACAACTAAAATCAAACGACGATAACTGTGTCCTCGGACCTATTAAGCCAAAAGATGAATTTTACCCCCTATGTTCTAATTAAAGCAACAGTGGTCATGTTTGTTGATGGATCAAATCCCTGTATAACAATTTTAAACTAGATGCTCAAAGGATCATTCAGGTAAAGTTTGGTAACATTTGCCCCCAAATTATTTTTTATTCATCTTGATACTTTTTTGTTACATTCTTTTATGTCTTTTGTATACTGTTTTGTCATAAAAGGGCTTGAATAGCAGGTTCTCTATTAACTATATCTAGGAAGAAAGTATATGATGTGAATATAAAGCCTGCATTGTATCAACTCCAGGCGGAAGGTCTGGGGGTATTTCAAAGTTGCTGCTTTGTTTAGGGCATGAATCAAACAACAAAAAAACTCCGTCAACAATAGAAGCACACCTCCTACAACAATATTCAAGAGGATGTTCAGCTTTAATAGCCTTTTAACTGTTAAGTCATTGCTAAAGACCATAAGAATTTAAGTTGCATTTATTTACATAATATTTTAGAATGAGACATTTTCTAATGTATAATTTATCTCAATACATGGCATAATTATATAAATTTTGTTCATTTATCATGTTTATACACACTTTAATAAGCATTATGGCTACTAGTGTTTCTTATTCAAAAACATTTTGCTTACCGTATTTGATTTAAGATTTTTGATTTTTCCCAAGTGAGAAGTGATTATGTTTTCTACTTTCAAGTCATCAAGAGATGAGAACTGTCCATAAACAGCTCTCATTTTTAGGAATGCCACTCCAGCTTCAGACTGTTCATGTGGTTTAGTATTCTTCATTGTTCCATCATTCTTGGTTATATCTTTAATCAGAACATCGTGTTCTTCCTGCCATTCCTACAAATATTGCCATCGATATAAAAAAGAATAATACTCTGTTCTTTTCGTAAGATGGAAGTTTCACTCATTAAAAAGATTTCAGTTCAGTTTAATTGACACGTTACTTTTGAAAAGATTAACTTGAGGTTCCCTGTGTCACTCACCTGCATCTTCAACAATGGCTACTTTTTAGTAAAAATCATCATTAAAGGAAAATAACTCTATTAAGAGTAAACTGACAATTACTATAATGTTGACATATTTGTAGATCCTATCCTACTGATAATTTTTCCTCTTTGAAGTTTCTATCCATCTATTATATTTTTCAAGATAATAGGCAAAAAATGCAAAAAAATATGTTAAAAATTATTATTAACAGCCAATAACTCAAATAATAACAAGTCAACTAAAGATTTTGGCTATCATAGCATATTGAATAGACACCTATCTATTGTTGATACAAGTGAACATAGCATATTGAATAGACACCTGTCTATTCTTGATACAAGTGAACATAGCATATTGAATAGACACCTGTCTATTCTTGATACAAGTGAACATAGCATATTGAATAGACACCTGTCTATTCTTGATACAAGTGAACATAGCATATTGTATAGACACCTATCTATTGTTGATACAAGTGAACATAGCATATTGTATAGACACCTGTCTATTGTTGATACAAGTGAACATAGCATATTGTATAGACACCTGTCAACTGTTGATACAAGTGAACATAGCATATTGTATAGACATCTGTCTATTGTTGATACAAGTGATCATAGTATATTGTATAGACATCTGTCTATTGTTGATACAAGTGAACATAGCATATTGTATAGACACCTGTCTATTGTTGATACAAGTGAACATAGCATATTGTATAGACACCTATCTATTGTTGATACAAGTAAACATAGCATATTGTATAGACACCTGTCTATTGTTGATACAAGTGAACATAGCATATTGTATAGACACCTGTCTAATGATGATACAAGTGAACATAGCATATACACCTGTCTATTGTTGATACAAGTGAACATAGCATATTGTATAGACACCTGTCTAATGATGATACAAGTGAACATAGCATATACACCTATCTATTGTTGATACAAGTGAACAAAGCATATTGTATAGACACCTGTCTATTGTTGATACAAGTGAACATAGCATATTGTATAGACACCTGTCTACTGTTGATACAAGTGAACATAGCATATTGTATAGACATCTGTCTATTGTTGATACAAGTGAACATAGCATATTGTATAGACACCTGTCTATTGTTGATACAAGTGATCATAGCATATTGTATAGACACCTATCTATTGTTGATACAAGTGATCATAGCATATTGTATAGACACCTATCTATTGTTGATACAAGTGAACATAGCATATTGTATAGACACCTGTCTAATGATGATACAAGTGAACATAGCATATTGTATAGACACCTATCTATTGTTGATACAAGTGATCATAGCATATTGTATAGACATCTGTCTATTGTTGATACAAGTGATCAAAGCATATTGTATAGACACCTGTCTATTGTTGATACAAGTGATCATAGCATATTGTATAGACACCTATCTATTGTTGATACAAGTGAACATAGCATATTGTATAGACACCAGTCTATTGTTGATACAAGTGATCATAGCATATTGTATAGACACCTATCTATTGTTGATACAAGTGAACATAGCATATTCTATAGACACCTATCAATTGTTGATACAAGTGAACATAGCATATTCTATAGACACCTATCTATTGTTGATTCAAGTGAACATAGCATATTGTATAGACACCTATCTATTGTTGATACAAGTGAACATAGCATATTGTATAGACATCTGTCTATTGTTGATACAAGTGATCAAAGCATATTGTATAGACACCTGTCTATTGTTGATAAAAGTTAACATAGCATATTGTATAGACACCTGTCTAATGATGAAACAAGTGAACATAGCATATTGTATATATAGACACCTATCTATTGTTGATACAAGTGAACATAGCATATTGTATAGACACCTGTCTATTGTTGATACAAGTGATCATAGCATATTGTATAGACATCTGTCAATTGTTGATACAAGTGATCATAGCATATTGTATAAACACCTATCTATTGTTGATACAAGTGATCATAGCATATTGTATAGACACCTGTCTATTGTTGATACAAGTGAACATAGCATATTGTATAGACACCTATCTATTGTTGATACAAGTGAACATAGCATATTGTATAGACACCTATCTATTGTTGATACAAGTGAACATAGCATATTGTATAGACACCTATCTATTGTTGATACAAGTGAATATAGCATATAGACACCTGTCTATTGTTGATACAAGTGAACATAGCATATTGTATAGACACCTATCTATTGTTGATACAAGTGAACATAGCATATTGTATAGACACCTATCTATTGTTGATACAAGTGAACATAGCATATTGTATAGACACCTGTCTATTGTTGATACAAGTGAACATAGCATATTGTGTATATAGACACCTATCTATTGTTGATACAATTGATCATAGCATATTGTATAGACACCTATCTATTGTTGATACAAGTGATCATAGCATATTGTATAGACACCTGTCTATTGTTGATACAAGTGATCATAGCATATTGTATAGACATCTGTCTATTGTTGATACAAGTGAACATAGCATATTGTATAGACACATGTCTATTGTTGATACAAGTGATCATAGCATATTGTATAGACACCTGTCTATTGTTGATACAAGTGATCATAGCATATTGTATAGACACCTATCTATTGTTGATACAAGTGAACATAGCATATTGTATAGACACCTATCTATTGTTGATAAAAGTTAACATAGCATATTGTATAGACACCTGTCTATTGTTGATACAAGTGAACATAGCATATTGTATAGACAACTGTCTACTGTTGATACAAGTGAACATAGCATATTGTATAGAAACCTATCTATTGTTGATACAAGTGATCATAGCATATTGTATAGACACCTGTCTATTGTTGATACAAGTGAACATAGCATATTGTATAGACACCTATCTATTGTTGATACAAGTGAACATAGCATATTGTATAGACACCTATCTATTGTTGATACAAGTGAACATAGCATATTGTATAGACACCTATCTATTGTTGATACAAGTGAACATAGCATATTGTATAGACACCAGCTGCAGTCTATTGTTGATACAAGTGATCATAGTATATAGACACCTGTCTATTGCAAGGCTTCCAAAAAGGTCATATTTGCCGGACAAATAAAAATTTATCAGATTTTGTTCGACTGGGCCAAGCATGTAACGGACATCCTACGTTGGTTTGCCATTTCAATGTTCATGTGATTCAGAAAAATCAACCATTTTGACTTGACCTTGTGCCTTAAACAGCCACACATTTCCGGTCATAAAAGTGACAGTACTCTATAAACAAGCCCTACTTTAATCCCCTCTCATTACAATCAAGGTTAATTAAGTGTCTAACAGGTAAGATTTACCTGTGATCACCTGTGTCAGGTAAACTATTTGTACCAGACATCAATCAATCTTTTTGGAAGTCATTTTTTTATTTAAATTAAAAACATTCCTGGTTTAAATCTAATTACTTTTCAGTAAAACAGATTGACACTATCAGAAAAACATATTTAAAACAATCAGATCATAATTTACAAGCAACCAGTAAACTATTTAGTACAGGACATTGATCTGTCTATTTATTTAAAAGTCTGGTCCATGTTTTACCATTGTCAAGTCAACATCCGGTATTAAAAAATAAATTTTTTAGAATTAAAATTTAGTTTTGTAAATTAACAAGCATTCTTTGAGTATTGCATGGCAATACATAGTCCCCTACCGGTTAAAAATTGATTATAAAATCAAATTGTAATGGAATGAAATTCTAACTTGTCATCTATAACTTGTCAAGCTGTAAACTACATAAAATAACAAACAAACCTACCACTAAATTCTTCAAACAATTTACTAAAACTAGAGGCTCTAAAGAGCCTGTGTCGCTCACCTTGGTCTATGTGCATATTAAACAAAGGAAACAGATGTATTCATGACAAAATTGTGTTTTGGTGATGTGTTTGTAGATCTTACTTTACTGAACATTCTTGCTGATTACAATTATCTCTATCTATAATGGATTTGGCCCAGTAGTTACAGTGGAAAATATTTTGTAAAAATTTACAAAAATTTACAAAATTTATGAAAATTGTAAAAAATTGACTATAAAGGGCAATAACTCCTTAAGGGGTCAATTGACAATTTTGGTCATGTTGACTTATTTGTAGATCTTACTTTGCTGTACATTATTGCTGTTTACAGTTTATCTCTATCTATAATAAAATTCAAGATAATAACCAAAAGCTGCAAAATTTTCTTAAAATTACCAATTCAGGGGCAGCAACCCAACAACGTGTTACCTGATTGGTCTGAAAATTTCAGGGCAGATAGATCTTGACCTAATGAACAATTAATTTTATCCTGTCAGATTTGCTCTAAATGCTTTGGTTTCAGAGATATGAGCCAAAAACTGCATTTTACCCTATGTACTATTTTTTAGCCATGTCGGCCATCTTGGTTCGCGGGCGGGGTCATCGGACACATTTTTTAAACTTGATACCCTAATGATGATTGTGGACAAGTTTGGTTAAATTTGTCCTAGTAGTTTCAGAGGAGAAGATTTTTGTAAAAGATTACAAAAATTTATGAAAAATGGTTAAAAATTGACTATAAAGGGCAATAACTCCTTACGGGGTCAACTGACCATTTTGGTCAAGTTGACTTATTTGTAGATCTTACTTTGCTGAACATTATTGCTGTTTACAGTTTATCTCTATCTATAATAATATTCAAGATAATAACCAAAAACGGCAAAATTTCCTTAAAATTACAAATTCAGGGGCAGCAACCCAACAACGGATTGTCCGATTCATCTGAAAATTTCAGGGCAGATAGATCT